CCCGCCGCGCCCCGGCCCCCCGGGGGCTTCTAACTTCTGCCTGGGAGGGGGGGTGGCTCCCCTTTCTTTTCGGAGCAGGACTGAGGAGCAGGGGCGCAGCGCCTCCTTCCCGGTGCTGACGTCATCTCTCGGACAAGAGCGTGGCTGCGGCCTCCCTGTCGGCCCCCCTCCCCAGGGCCCCCCTTTTCTGTGATGACCTCAAAGAGCAGCAGGCTTCAGAGAACTAGGTGCGGGCCGTGTCCCGCAGACATGCCTGTACGCCGGCGCGGAGCTCCGGCTCAGACGGCTTGTCGCAGTTGGCAGGGGTCGTCTCCCCCGAGCGGGGCGGGTCTGTCCTGCGCACCATGTCCTCAGCCCCGCGGCTGTGCCAGGGCCCTCGTGGGCGGGCGCTCCCGCAGGCCTGGCCCGCAGACCATGCCCATCAGCCTCCGGACAGGTGGAGCGCAGGTGGGAGGGCCTCTGGGTCCTGTGCTGCTGCGTGGGCTTCCCGGCGAGGCCAGGCGGGCACAGAACCAGCTGTAGGCGTGTCTGCGTCCCTCCAGGCCTGTGTCCCAGGCTCCCTCCGACCCCAGCATCCTTCACGCATGGCTGTCCCTGCGCCTCTTCCCCAGCTCAGCCTCCAGGAGCTCCCCTGACCCCACTCAGAGCTCCATGCCAAGCCTGTGGGCACCTGTTACAGCGCGTTTGTTACCACCTGGCTGCTTGTCCGCCCAGCGCCCCCGCAGGCGGGGAACTGGCTTGTTGGAGGCTGTACTGCGGGGCCTCATCCAGCAGCTGGCACAGCGGGCGGGCTCTTCTTCACCCCTTTGGCACCCCCACCCTCACCCCCGAGATGCCACCTGGGGAATGACGTATGTCCAGCTGCCCTCCCCCTTCTGCGTTTTGCTGGCTTCTCTTCTCAGCCTTTCCCTCAACAGCCATTTAATGAGCACCTAAATGCTAAAAACCAGATTGGTGTTTCTGGTTTCTTGGGATATATTCCTGGAAGTGGGATCACTGGGTCAAATGGGAGTTCCATTTTTAGTTTTTAGAGGAAACTCCATACTGTTCTCCACAGTGGCTGCACCAGCCTGCACTCCCACCAGCAGTGCACGAGGGTTCCTTTTTCTCCGCATCCTCGCCAGCACTTGTTTGTTGATTTGTTGATGACAGCCCTTCTGACAGGGGTGAGACGGTGCCGCATTGCTGTTTTGTCTGGGTCCTTTTTCTTTGGAAACTTCCCATCGCCTCTCCTGCGGGTCCTGAGCACTGCTTGGTGACTGACTGACCGACCGACCGGCTTGAGACGCTCACTCCTCTGTAGACGTATCAGAACATGGAATGTGCTCTCTCCTCTCTTGCAGACGCCGGCTGGGCCCCCACGTCTGCCTCTCGGGGTTCGGGAGTGGCTGCTGCCCAGGCTGGGCGCCCTCCATGGGCAGTGGGCACTGCACCCTTCGTAAGTGCCTGTCCCCGAGCCCCAGACATCCTCCCCAGCGGGCGCTCACTCCCTGAGCTGGGGCAGACAGGGCACCCTCCCCCTGCCTCTGCTCCCTCACCTGCATTTCTCCTCCCAGCCCTCTGCTCCTTTGGCTGCGGGCGTGGCATCTGCATCGCTCCCAACGTCTGCTCCTGCCAGGATGGCGAGCAAGGGGCCACCTGCCCAGGTACCTGGGGGCGGGCGATGGCTCCTGGGAAAACTCTGTGAACACGGAGATTATGTGCCAGGCCCTGGGCACGGTGCCCTCGCATATCGTCTCCAGACAACCCTCGTAGGCAGGCACTCTCCTGCCCATTTTATGGATGAGGAACGGAGGCACAGAAGTCAGTGGCTCCCCCGGGGGTGCCATGGCTAGTAGTGGGCAGAGCTGGGTTTCAACTCAGGCCTGTTTGCCTCCAGGGGCACCTTCCCCGCAGAATTCAGGCAGGAGGACCCCCGGCGGGCGGGGCGGGGGCGGCCG